CGAGTCCCTTCTAACTCAGGACATTCTGTGACTCTGAGGGGGCTCCCGGCACACAGAGACGGGAACAGCGCTGCCCGCGCCGCCCGGGGCCCGCAGCTTCCCCGGAGCTCTTCAGCGCCCGAGCCCGGCCCACGGCCCCGCGCGCGCCCGCCACACCGAGCACGCGCCGCCGCCGCCGCCCCGCCCACCCGCTCAGTCACGTGCCGTGCGGCATGGCCGGCGCGCCGGGGGATGGCGGCGGGGACGGGAGTGGTGGGAGCGTGCTGCTCGTCCGCCCGTACATCTGCTCCTTCCCCGGCTGCGACGCCGCCTTCAACAAGGCCTGGCGGCTGTCCGCCCACCTCTGCCGGCACACGGGCGAGGTGAGCCGCGCCGGCTGGGAGGGAGGGAGGGAGGGGTGTGTGTGTGTGACCGAGGCGTGGGCGCCGCGCTGGGACCCCGCGGGGACCGGGCAGGGTCCCAGCCCCGCAACACCCGGAGGCTGCGCCGTGTGACCGGGCCCGGTGCGGCCGGGGCATCCCGCTGGCGGCAGGATGGGCTCCCCGGGCGGCCGAGCCCCCGCGGGGGTGCGTTCGGCCCTAGGACAGATCGTCTCTTTCAGAGGCCGTATGTTTGCGATTATGAAGGCTGCGGCAAGGGGTTCACGAGAGACTTCCACCGCGCCCGACACCTCCTCACGCACACCGGGGAAAAGCCGTTCGAGTAAGGCCCAAGTTTTTACCTCTTAAGCTGAAGTGCGGTTTTTCGTAAGGAAAGGAAGTTAAAACAGGGCGGTGGCAGAGGGCGTGCATGCCTTTGGTGTCATGGGCCCTGCCATAACAGTGTGTACACGGGGTGGGATCAAACCCCCCGTTCCGGCAGCGACCTGTAACAAATGCTTAAAGGAATGGGCAGATCTCTCCCCCAAGAATACATTATTAAAAGGCTAACTTAGTCTCTGGCTTTTATTGTCTTCAAAGCAAACTTCTGTATTTGAGTTGTGAGTTTCAGTAATTCTTCTGTATGTTGTTCTTGTACAGTGATTTCTGTACCTGCCTAGGGAACAAGTCACTGACAGCAGTAATAAAAAATGCAGTTCATTTGCAGGTGCACAGCTGATGGGTGCAATGAGAAATTTGGAACAAAATCAAACATGAAGAAGCACGTTGAGCGCAAGCATCAGAATCAGCAAAAGCAGTATGTGGTGAGTAATTACCTTTGCACTGTACAGTGGAGGCTAAACAAGCTCTTTCTTGTGTATCTGGTGAAATACTCCAACTTGTTATTATGTGGTACTTGTATAAGCTCAAATACCATGACAGGGATTTCAGCGAACATGTGAACTGAACTGTCAATATTTGGCCTCTAATGATAACTTAATTTCCTCAATAGTGTGACTTTGAAGGCTGTAACAAGTCTTTCAAGAAGCATCAACAACTTAAAGTTCATCAGTGTCACCACACCAATGAACCTCCCTTCAAGTACGTGGATAATTTTAATACTGAACTTAAACACTGTAGATGAAAACAGGTACATTTTCTCAGCCTTTTCATTGATGTGGCAGAAAAAAGAAAAAATAAATCAGTATGTAGTCAGGGCTGCAAGTATATTTCTTGTACTAGTCCTTTGCTCAGTGATCTGCTTTGTGCAACAATCTTGGTGCTCTGTAACTTCAGCATTCCAGCAGTTTTATAAAAAAATAACACAGCACCCCCCCCACCCCTTGTTTTTAGTTCGTAGTTTGAAATACAGGCATTAGAGCTTGCACAGTAATTAAAAATGCAGCTGCCTTTATTTTTCAGTAAGAAGCAGTGACTTGGCTGACATTGAGTAGTTAGTACCTAGAAAAAGGAGAGAGACTTTGTTTCCCAGCTCCATTTGGGTAATACATGACTATAGATCTGCTAAAAGCAAAGTTCAGTCTTGTATTTCCTACAGGTGGGTCACACTTAACATGAGTGTTCCTTCCACTTCAGTGAAATGCACTACTGTGGTTGGATGACAGACAAAAATGTCAGTGCTCTGCTGGTTCTGCACAAACCACTTAAACCTTCCACTTTCTGTTGTTCTGTATTTGAAGAGCCTGCTGTGTGGAGATGATACAAGGCTTGACTCTTCAGCTAAAGCTCAACTTGCTGTATATTTGAAAATCATACTATAGTTCTAACTCTCAAAGTCATCCATGTCTATTAAAAAACTATTACAGAATTTACTTTTACAAGGTGGGGGGACACACACAGATCTGCAAGCAAAGGGACACTTGAATTATTTTATTAATTTTAATTGTTCTTGACTTAACAAAAAATACTTCGATATGGTGAAAGAAATGAAACTACTGCTATTTTGTACCTAGATGTAATAAAGAAGGATGTGGAAAGTGTTTCTCTACTCCAAGTCGACTAAAGCGGCATGAGAAGATACATGAAGGTAAAACTGTTCTTTTCTTTTTAAGGTTATGTTTCAGCAAAGGTAAAAGGACTGCTTCCAGTGCAGAGTATGCACGGATGCATGACAGTCTGAAAGTGTTCTGGGTCTAGTGATCCAGACAAGACAAGAACACCCATTTTGAATAGTAAGTGGGATATAACTGCAGGGCACTGCAGTGTTCAGTTAGAGTGTGTTTGTGGCACTCTGAGCAGAGCTCAGGATTCCTTCAGTTATTTCTTCTCCTGAGGTGCTTCCTTGCACATAATCCATCTTTTGGAGATGGGCTGGTGGTAAAGGCATTAGCCTAGATGTCCAGAGCTTAGATTCAGTTGTCAGTTCTGCCACAAATTTCCTGTGGAGCCTTGGCAGAACCATGTGTATTTTTAGTTATTAATGAACCTGTGTGAGAGGCTTTTAAGTGAAATCATCATAATATGGCCATGTACGTTTGAGCTAATCCTGCTGCCCTCCTATCCATTCTTTCACTGACAGATAACCAGCTTTACAGTGATAGGAAAAAACCAAAACCAAATCAAATAAACCCAACAGACTAGGAAGAGTACCCAGAAGGCTGTGATTTTTGCTGTGATTTGTACTGTGATTCCCTTAAAACAAGGTTTTTGAGCATTCCAGTCCTGGGATTTAAATAGTGTTGACTTCCTGTGGTTCCTGCCTGATAGAATGTTAGAATCTCTTTGGACTCTGGAATACTACTATATGGTCAGTATTTCTTTTTAATATGCAAGACAAATATTTATATAGAACTAATATATATTACTAGTTATTTTCATCTATTTGAGAGAAAGTGTATGCCTGGAGAGGAAATAGCTTTACTGAAGCAAGGAGAGAGAGTTTCACAAAATCATTTAGGTCAGAAAGGATCTATGGAGGTGACCTGGTCCAGCTCCCTGCTCAAGGTGGAGCCAGTTAGACCAGGTTGTTGAGGACTACATCCACTAGTGTTTAATGGTTCCAGGGCTAGGGCTTCCACAGCCTCTCTGGACAACTGGTGTCAGTGATACAAGGTTTCTTACTTAAAACTGCTAGGATTTTCTCTTGTTCCAATTTGTGTTGATTTTTTATTGTCTCTTATCCCATTCCTGTGCAATATGGGAAGACACAAGAAATGACTGGCTTTTAATTTTCAAATGCTGGAAGTGGAGTTCCCCCTTGTAAAACTGGACTGTTTGCCAGACCCTCTGTCATTGTAAACATCTGTCCCGTCCAACAGGCTATGCATGCAAGAAGGAAAACTGCTCATATATCGGAAAAACGTGGACAGAGCTTCTGAAACATAATAAAGTCAGTCATGCAGGTAAATTCCAAATGCTTTAGTAAACTTATGATACAAATAGGAAACCAACTGCTAATCTGAAGTCCTTGCTGTACTCACTTCATCAGCTTGTCAGCGTGTCCCAAACTTGTCTACTAACTTTATTGGTAAGGTGGCTGTCATTCCAGCTAGACCTTTGATGAAAGTGCTGCTCGATATACTAACTTAGCTTTGTAATTCAGTTAACAGAAAATTGTTTTATGTAGGTTTTCAGATTTTGATAATTCATACTGCATTATCCTCCTGAAGTCTTTGAGTTCCTTGCATTTCATGTTGATGTTAGCATTGTTCTAATAGACCACTAGGGTTTGATTCTGGGCTGCTGTAAGAAAGTGTTTATTTATATTCTGCCTTTCTTTTTCCCACTTAGAGCCAATAGTCTGCAGTGAATGTAACAAAACTTTTAAACGGAAGGATTACCTCAGGCAGCATCAAAAGACACATGCTGTGGAGAGGGAAGTCTGCCGCTGCCCCAGAGAAGGATGTGGAAGAACATACACAACTTTATTTAACCTTCAAAGCCATATCCTCTCTTTTCATGAGGAGAAAAAACCATTCTCTTGTGATTATCCAGGCTGTGGAAAAGTGTTTGCAATGAAGGTATGTGTTTTTTTAACTGTTCTGGTCTGAATCCCATAATCCCATTATCTAAAATTATAAACTGAACTCCTTTTTTTTTTTTTTTTTTTCCCTGCTCTTTGTAACTGCAGCAGAGCCTAGCAAGACATGCAGTTGTACATGATCCTGAAAAGAGAAAGCTGAACTTGAAAGTAAGTTACACTCTTGGAAGAAGTGTTCTCACCCCTACCCTTATCACTGCAGAGGAGGGTAAACTTTACCTGGTTTAGAATGTGCCTTCAAGCAGGAAAACAGGTCAAATACCTAGATAATTTGTGAGATTCTTAATTTATGAAGCTCCTTCAGCTAATGCAGTCCTGGCCTCTACTTTGATTTCTTTTTCCCCCTACCAGAAAAGTAGTCTTGGCTTCACAGACATGTCAAGTTTACTAATTCTGGATCTATTTCTGCCAGGCAAAGCGTTCTCGTCCCAAGAGGAGCTTAGCCTCTCGTCTCAGTGGCTACATTCCTCCTAAAACACAGCCAGGAAAGGATGAGGTTGTGATGGAAAGCAAGACAGCAGACAAGCTTGTGGAAAATGGAATACCAGCTGTTGAAATTCGGACTCTGTAGCAAAGCTTAACCAAGACAGTGTTCTTCATGGAATGACCAATGCAAAGCTCAACAGTAACTTTAGATGAAATTAATATTTTAAAATTTTATTTTTTAAATAAATATATATTGTTTACACCGCTTCAGAAAGTCACTGATGCAACTCATTTGACTTCAGATCTTCATTTTCATCTTTTTTTACTGTATTGTTTTTCTTTATTTCCATCTTCTGGTGTTCTTTCAACTCTTTGTCAGACATGTGCCTGAAAACACAGGTACTCACTCCTTCTCTAGCAACTCTTGGCTTGGAAAGATAAGTTGCTTTCTCAGACACAGTCTCCAAAATCTGATCAAAAAGCGTGAACTAAAAAGGAGAAAAATAAAAAATGAAACTAAATGAATGCACAAATCCAGGTAGAAAAATATTTCAAGCTCCTCTGTAATAACATGATCTGCTTAGTTTAGCTATTAGCTGAACTAAGTTAGTTGCTAGTCCTAGTTTCAGCACTTCTTGTCCTTTCCTAACAATTCTTTACTCATAAGCAGGTTTAGGCAAGTCATTAGAGGGGGGATCCATCCATTTCCTAACATTTAGGCTGTACTGCTGACTCACAGTGTTTTGCTCTTTAAAGGTGTCCATTAGAGTGGTCTGCATCTGACTCCTCTCCACCCTCCTGTGCCTCTAGATTCAGATATATTATTATATGAGGCTTTTTTGTTAAGAGGTAGTATCGTTCTAAGGTTAGCAGGACCTAGTAGTATTGAACTGAGTAACAGTGCATTCACCGAATTCCTAACCTCATTATTAAGCCTTCAAGGACAATGTAAATCAGGACTGTGTCATGACATGTTCTGTTCTCTCCCATCATCACTGCTTCCTGTTACTCCTTCCCTGTGAATTTACCTTCCTATAAAAAGTTTTGTTCTTTTGGATGAAACACTATCGCAATTTTCCCCAGCAATTTAGTTGAGACAATTGTCAAGAACACCTAATCACTACAGACATTACAAGGAGGAAAAAAAAGTTAAACAGAATATTTATAAAAAATCAATTTTTGTGAATGACACTGAAGTCTCAAGGCCCCGCAATTATACTGGGAACTTGCCATCAGCTGCTTAACATTTTTAGCAGTGTTCACTTTGCTAGTCTTGGAACACCATTCCAATAGTTATTCATGTCAGAATGGATAACTAACCTTAGCCAAAGTTGCATAAATACAGCTTCAGAAGAACTGTTGGTGAAATAATCCAGCTAAAATACAGACTTTATTTTTTTCAAAACCGCACTGTTAAAGTTTTCAGAGTGGGTGAGCTGGCTAAAGCCACAGATCAGAAAATTTCACTGGCCCCATTAATAGGGTGGTGCTGCATAGGAGTGCTTAGACTCTGCTGTCCAAGCCAGTACTGCAGCTGGATTCTTAAGGAAGCATGGTATTTGAACTGTCTCTCTGGGACTACTTTTCTTCACCAGTGTTTGAACAGGCGCAGCTTAAGGCAGGCAACCACTACTTGCATGGGACTAGATCTCCACTGAGGTACTAAAAACTGTGGCAGTACCCAATAAGGAAGGTCAATACAGCTGCAGCTACTTAATGACATCGACTGGTCCAACTTCCACGAGTGCACTTACCATGTCTGTACTGCTGCCTTTTGCTTGCCGGATGGTAACTTTAACATGGTGTCTCTTCTCAATCCACTGTGCTATCTGTTTAGTCTTGGTCTCTAAGTCATTCTTGGCAATAGCTGAAGAAAAGGATAACTCCTTCTGAACCACCCCTGTTTAAAACAGAACTGAAAGTCTGTTGGCTTAACATTTGACAAACCTGTTGCTCTCTTTTAAAGCTCTCTCTCAAGGCTTATGGTGCTTTGCCTGCTTGACTCCCTCCTCCCATGCTGCTTTCTCCCCATCTCATTGTCTCAGCATGCACCACTCTCACACTCACTGCCGTAAATGGGAGACTGAGTGCATGTTTGAGGCACACAGGGAAAATCTCTTCAGCGTCAGAAGGCTTAAGATATTTTTAATTACAGTCTTGTTCATATGATCCACAATGTAGGTCTAACAAACAGGTAAGCACTGGATCTGGAATTAAAGACTTAGTGTCTAAATTCCCGTGTTCTGCACGCAAGACAGCTGAAGGTAAAAGCTCTTCGACGTTAGATAGCTCTTCATCTCAAGCCCATTTTATTGAGTGGTGAGTGCAATATTCAGCTGGAAGTATGACAATGCCTTGTAATATATTTGAACAACCTACAGTCTCTTCCTCCTTCAAGTTTCTCTAAAGCAGTTACCATCTGAGTAATATTTTTCTGGTTTCTTGAACAGAGCAACTCAGTACCACAATAATGCTCTCCTCTAAAATCAGAACTCTACTCAAAGCACAGCTATCTTCAATAGCCTGAGGATATGGGGGGTACAAGGTCACATGCATTTTCTAAAACCTCTTTGCCAAACTCAGTTTGATAAACTGCTGGAGCAGGTGGTCTTAAGAAAAAAACAAAAAACCAAACTGAAAAGTGTTAAATATTGAAAAAGTTCTCTTACTCTGTACAAGAAAGGACTTCAGACTTTGTCCTCTTAGCAGCAAATGAGGAAGAGAGTGTTTCATGACTTCTGATGACAAACTATATAATTATATTGGTGTATCCAGTCCTTAGTTTGTAAAAACTGCCTGTCACTCTATGCCTTAGTAAAAGAACAGAAATTCAGTGAGTCTCATGGAACCAGAGCCCAGTTATATTCACTCACATAAAGATATTTTTTAACAAGTCAGCAGATGTCAAAGTAGCAAATCCTGAGAGGGCAATAGAAGGCTTCTCTGTGAAAGACTGGACTAATCCAAAATTTTATTTTCACCACTGCAAATCCTTAATAGCATGGACTGCAGTGACATTGCTTTGGATTTACACAAATACAAGTAAGAGGATTTAATCTGTTGAAACCACTTTTAATGCAGCATTTTTCAAAGTCCTCAGTGTTGTAGTGTTTACAGTGCACATACCTGGCTTTGGACTTGCTTTTTTCTTCTCTGCACGTTTAAGCTGTTCTTCGTGAATCTGCTGCCCAGTCATTAGTCTGTAAACTGGAGGTTCTACGTTCTCACGAAGCAGAACCAGTTTCAGGCCATGTTGATCCATAAGTCTGAGTGCCTCTGCTCGGTGCATGTTTCCTAAGCTCTGCCCATCCTGGTTGATTACGTGCAAAATACGATAGGGAATTCTTCGCCCAACACTTCCAAACGCTGCTTTACTCTTTGGTTGTGCGTGAGATTTTCCATCTGTACACAATGGTTGAGTAAGCCCAAACACAGCTGACTTCCTAGGGTCAGGTACCACCATCCAGAATGGAGAAAAGAGCCACTTTTGTGCTGTCTGTGTCAGAAGAGTACCAAAGAACCTTTTTGCATATGTGCTTTCGTTTCTGGTCACTTGACATAAATATTTCATTGTGCACAAGGCAGTCATTCTGAGGAAGAAGAAAAAGCAAATTACCCCATTAGTTAGATTTTTCTAGTTATATTAGAAAGACTTGACTCCAGTTCAGTAAACCCTAGTGTTTTGAATTGCTCTTTTGAAATTATACATGGTGCTACAGTAATTTTACAGTAACATAGGGACTTAAGCCAGAGAGAAAATCTGACAAATAAGCAAAATGTATGAGTTGATGTTACCTTCTGTATTTTAAAATCTGAGCCTGATCTCCTTTAAAGAATGCAATACTTCTAGTTCCTTTCTCCTCACTTTCAAATTTTAATCTAAATAGTTACAGGCATCTATCCTGTCACGGTACACACGAAGCTATAAACTTTCAAATATGCTTCCAAATATACCCGTGCTTGAAGACTACTGAAACTCCTCTTTGAGACATTTCTTCCATTGGATTTTTAGTCCCATTCTTCCCCGGTTCATGAAATCCCCCGGCAATTGTGCTGCAGCTGCCCATTATTTGCATTTTGTTCAGACCTTCAGAAATCGTCTGTTTTCTAACAGCTGCAAAAAACTTTGGAAATAAAGAGCAAACTGTGAGTAGTCTCTGTAGTTTTCCTATTTTTTGTTTAAAAGGGTGCAATTACAGGAAAAGCCAAAGATGATGCAGGAAAACAAACAGGTGTCATACCAGAGGAGTTGGCAAGAGTGAGACCTCTTTTGCCCAGGAAGGAATGTGCCTCTGCTCTATAAATACATGCATGCATACACATATATATATATATACAAACATGTATGACATTGTGTAAACATGCATCCATGTGCATACATACACATGGAAAAGGTGTAAACCATCAGCAAGGACAAAAAGCTATTGATAATTCTAAGCAGTGTTGGCACAGGAACAAGCGTGAATGAAAAAATGACTAGCCTGTGAATAAACTTAGTCTGAAAAGGGGACAGTCTGGAGCCTGGGATGGATTTTATACCTCAGCAGTAAGGACAATGTCCATGCAAACTGCTTGAAGGAGGAGCCAGAGGAGTTCATGAACCGGGCAGTCCGATAACAGCTGTGTGCTACAGCTAGATCAAGTTAGCCACACAGCACACAAGAGAAGTAACAGGATTTCCACAGCAGCCTAAAACCAGCTGGTAGAGCTACCTTTCCTTCTTGCTCTGGGCTCTGCCCAGTCCAGACCCCTGTAAAAACAGCTTTTTGTCTGGCTGTGACAACTGCCCTATGACTGAACACCCACTGCCAACACCCAAGTATCTTTGTGCATCATCAGTGCAGCTACACAAGAGCCACGATGTCCTTATTTTTTTAATGGTTTCATAAACCAGCTCTGGATCATGCACTGCAGACTTGGTCCACAATCTGGGTATCACTACTCCATTACTGAATGATATTAAATTCATCTTCCATTCAGAGGAGCCTGGCTTGCCTTTGAGAGCTACTGATTTATAAAATTAAGTAACGGCATCTCAGCAATGGAACAGCAGCTTGTTTTAAGGAAATGCTGACCTTGCTCCGCTAAACACATGGTGTTGTTGTTATCCCCCTTCACTCGCTGACACTATTTAAATCTCATAAACCTAGCCCTTGCTGTCTCAAAGAAAACAACTCTTTTTTATGGAAGGGGTTTTCTTTGCCTAACACGGCTAAGACACGCATGTTTCGCGTTGTGCGTTTCGCTCATCCTTGTTGCCAAGGCCGGCTGACTTGGCCGGGTGGGAGCTCGAAGGAGCGGGCAGCTCCGGGCACACTGGGAACCGCAGGAGCAGCCGCGCTTCCTGTGCCGGGCGGCCCTCACGGGAGGGGGGCGGCATCCCGTGGGAGGCGGCCTGCTTCCCGCGGGTGTCCCTCCTGTAAGCAGGGAAGCGGGGCTGTACGCGAGTGTGTGACCGTGCCCTGTCGCGTCCGCCCTCCCGGCTCTGCGTGTGGCGGAGGTCACTGCGCGCGCCTGTGGCGTGCCCGCGTGCGTGACCCGCGCCTCCCTGCGACCCTCTCTTACCTGCCGGCCGGGCCGGGCCGGGCTGGGCCGAACCGAGCCGAGCCAAACCCCCAGCCCCGGCCCGCCCAAGCAGCCGAGGCACCGGCCCGAGCCGCCGGGAAGTTGCGGAACGCCCCGCCTCTCCCCTTTCCTTTTCCTCCTGCTCCTCCTCTTCCTCTTCCTCCTCGCGCGCCTCCGCCCCGCTCCCCGCCCGCCGGTGCGCGCCCGCGTGAGCGCGCGTGGTGGGTGCGGTAGTGCCAGCGGGATCTCGGTGTCCCTGTGTCCCTGTGCCTGGTCCCTGTGTGCTCCCGCCTGTACAGGCCGACATACGTGGCGTGCCCGGTTCCGTGCGCGCGGTTGTTGGGAGCTGCTGTTGCCCTGCACGGCTCTGTGGGTTCCCGCTGTGCCTTTGCTACGCTGCCGTGGGTGTGAGGGCCGCGGCTGGGACAGGGTCCGCACTGTGCCCTGGCGCCATCCCTGCAGGGCAGTTTGGTGCTGCGAGCGGGGATTATCTGGGTGCTGAGGGCTTTGTGTGTGTGTTGAGGCATAGAATCATAGAATGTGGGTTTGGGTTGGAAGGGATTTTTAAAGCTCATCTCCAATCCCTCTGCAATAAGCAGGAGAGCAGGAACGTCTTCCAACTCCCATCAGGTTGCTCAGAGCCCTGTGTGTCCTCACCTTGAATGTTTCCTGGTATGAGGCATCCACCATTCCTCTGAGCAACCTGTGACAATGTTTCACCACCTTCCTTCCAAAAACTTCTTCCTTACCTCTAGTCTAGATCTACCCTCTTTTCGTTTCAAACCATAACCCGCTGTCCTGTCACTACAGGCCCTTCCAGAAAGTCTGTTCCCATGTTTCTTACAGGCCCCCATTAGGCACTGGAAGGCTGCTGTGAGGTCTCCCCGCAGCCTTCTCCAGACGGAGCAGCCCCAGTTCTGTCTCCATAGGAGAGGTGCTCCAGCCCTCAGAGCATCTTTGTGTCCCTCCTCTGGACTCGCTCCAGCAGGTCCGTGTCCTTCCCGTGCTGGTGACCCCAGAGGCGGATGCAGTCCGGCCCCGGGCTGTGTAAGCCCCTGTCCCTGTCCCTGTCCCCGTCCCCATCAGGGCTGCGGGCCGCGCTCGGTGAGCGGGCCGCGCACGGCCCGGCCGAGGCTCCAGGGGTCAGCAGCAGCGTGTGCGGCTCTGCAGCGGCGGAGTCACACCGAAGGCGTCTCGGGTGCTTGGATTTGTTACCTTCTTTGGTAGGAGAGGCTCTGCCTCGGGTTTGCGAGCTCCTGCGTCCAATTTGGAGACAGAAACCTTTGAAAGAGGAGCCGAAATTCATGTGCAGCTGTAAGGAGCACGCTGAGGCAGCCAGCCGCGGAACAGCCTGGGAGTGTGCTGGGCACTTCTCTCCGGAGCCCAGGGCTTCGTGCCTGTCGGGAGATGCTCTTTAGCCATCCCCGCAGAAGCTGGAGCAACACTCAGACTGAACGTGCGCTTGTGTTTAGAATTTAGTACAAAATGAAGCTATGGGAAGCAGCTGTCCTTCCTGCCTAAAAATAATCAGAACTTTTTATCTTATATGCTTTAGGCCACAGCTAAGTGACCCTTTTTTCCTTTCCCCCCTTCTGTCTGGGAAGAAGAAATGCAATGAAAACCTGACCTTTATGATTTTGGGTTGAAAGGTTACTGTTCTTAACTGTGGTCTTAGAATGGTTTAGTTTCATGTGCTCGCTGTTTTTGTTTTGTCATTGTGGTACATACATGTAAAAAAAGCTCTGTCATTGCTTCATGCTATCCATCTTCACAGAAGACATCATGTGGTAATCATGTGCAAAGCCAGAAAACTTCACTAAATCAGTTCACAATATGAAGTTCATTCATATCACCTTATCCTCATTAAAAGTCCTCTCTAGCAGTAATGAATTTGGAAAAATGCCAGTAACAGAATTAGCCAAGTAGATGGTGAGCTGTGTTAAGACCCTGCATGACAACTGTAGCTTCTCCTATTATATGCAAATAGAGCTGAATTTTTCCATCCTGATCTTTTGTGCTTTTATTTTTTTATTTCACTCAGGCTTTATGCCTTTAGAGTTGTAAGCTCTTTGGGAGCAGGGATTACCATCACTAACATCAGTGGAATGCCTAAGAAAACTGTATCTCAGTTTGATGCTACTGAAACATAAATTATTGAAATTCTACAGTATCCAATTGTGGAGAGTGAAATATTCCACAATAAGAAAAAGCAAAACAAAAAAGATTTTTGCTGCTCTATTCATGGTGTGGAAATCAAGTGTGGAATTTGAATAAGCATGAAGGGAAATTTTGGCAGAGCTGAGGCCTGGAGAGATTTTTTTTCATCATCAGCTCTGCAATATGCATTAGAAGAGAGCATGTCAGCAGCCCTCTTGCAGTTAGTGACTATTGCCACTCCGAGAACCATCCCCACAAGACAGGTAATTTTCAGCAGTGTTAGTAGCAGCAATAAAGCTAATAATCCTCTTCACTAGTGATAAAAACTACCTGCATGAAAGCAAGCTACTTCAGAGCATACACTTCACATTCCTTCTCTCTTCCATTGTTTAATTCTGTTAAGTTTAAACGTGATGCTTGTTTTGCTTCATGCCTTTCTAATTAAGTATAATGTGCCAAGAAATAGTGCAGACTTCTAATCCTGTTTGTCCTCAATTATCTTGATCTTTCTGGGGGTTCATTATACTCTTTCTCCTTGTGCTTTGTCTCATGTCTGTTTACATTGTAATTGTCCTGGGGCCATGTTTTTATATGTGCCTGCCACAGCGAGACTGCAGTCTTAATTATTTGAAAGACACTATCATAATAAGTGCAGTTAATAACTTCTTCCTTCTACTTTGCCTGATGCACATCATCTTCTGCCCACCTCTGACAATACACTCAGTCATTTATTTGCTTTATAATTCCTTAATCTTTGTCTGCCTCTTTTTTTTTTTTTTAAATTTGACATTTACTTACAAAGTTGTTGTTTTCACTTTGTTATTTTTTGTGCCATATTAAGGCCTGTTCTGCTAGACCTTGTGCCAAATTCTAGGCATTTCATTCCCCAGCTAATTTTAAATGCAAATATATGAGAAGGGGAAAGGATGGGTGGATGGAGAGATTTCTGGTCCTCGTACATGAGCAGTGTAGGGATTTGCTAGTGTGGATGTTATTAATGTTAGTAATTATTGTGAGGCTCAAGATGCTACTGAGAAACTTCTTCCACATTAACAACTGATCTCTGGGGGATGGTTTCAGTATTCCCTGAAGATGCTGGAAACTGGTTCCAATCCTTCTGTGTTTTGGGGTTAATTTCAAAATCAAAGAATCACAGTATCATCCAAGTTGGAAGAGACTTTCAAGATCATCTAGTTTAGCCATCAACCCAGCACCAGCATAGTCCCCAGTTAAAATCTCCCCCAAAGCTATTCATTTTGGGTACAGTGAGCAGTTTCTAATGCCCAGCAGAGAGTGAGGATGCCCTTAGCTGGATGACAGTGTGTTCACCTGAAGGCCCGAGGCTATGGTTTACTGCCATTCAGACTTCATCACTCATTTTGTGGGAGCACGAAGCAAGCTGCTGGAGTGCCTTACACCTGCAAGGAGCTCTTACCTGCTGGCTCTGGGTGGAGGACTGGTCTTTCCTTGGTCCATGGTGAATACCTTGCTCTTCCTAAACTGGAGCTGTGCATATAAATATCTGGTAAAAAAAAATAATTTCAAGTGCTAAGCAAGATCAGCAGGAGTTTATTACTGATATTTTTGGGTTTATGCAATGCCTGGGACCCTTGGGCATAGAGCAGTAGCAGTGGGTGGGACAGCAGTTTTTTCACTCTTATTACTAAATCTGTGATTAGTCTCCTGCACACTCGTGCTTACAAAAGTACTGAGCATCTGAAGGGCTGCTTACCCTGTGCACCTCTGTTTTCCTGCTTTTTCTATGTAATTCCCTCCTTCACAGGGCGTTTCAGCAGGGAAGCTTTGGGGTAGACTTGGAGAGTCTCTTACTCCTCCCCGTTCCCCAGTCCTGCTGGCAGCTGCCATGGCCCCCCTCCACCTTCCTGCCGGTTATAATCGGCTGTGTGTTCCTGCAGACCCCTGGTTCAGAGCGGGGCTGTAGCCTCCCCTTTACACTCCTTAGTGTTCCTTTTCCCGTTAGTGTTTATGAAAGTTTATGAAAGACTTTCGCACATAACTGAGATGAAAAACTCCCTTGTGCTGAGCTGAGCATTGCCATATGGCAGAGAACACGTCAGAGTAAACATGTATTTAAAGGACACAGAAATTCTGGGTGTGTAGTAGGTCCAGATTTCTGGATCTGCAGTAGCTCATTTACTCCTTTTCCATCCACAGCTTTTGAAAGTTGCTTCCTACACAAACGTCACTATTTTTATTCCAGCAAGAGGCAGCAAAAAATTAAAGCAAACCCCAAAATTTTGTTGTAGTGAGTGGTAAACGATCACTGCTAACTGATGCCCTGCACAGAATATACAAATATAGTTGAAGCAGATGATGTTTTGTTTGATTTCTGAAATCTGCCCCTGTTGTGGGAATTAAAACAAATCTTTTGAAGATGCATGCTCTGCCATTAAATTGCTTGGGCTGAATTACTGAATCCAGGCAAAGAACCAATTTTGCTCCCTGAAAAGCAAGGCTGACTGAATTTGTTAAAATGTTAATCATAGAGCAAGCCTGTGGGTCCCTGGGGTGAGATGCAATTAGAGTTAAAAGTTCACAGTATAGAAAGTTTTTTAACTGTCTAGTTTTACATCTTGACTGTAGGGAGAGGAGTTTTCACTGTACATTGAAGACATTGTTCTACAGCCTTTGCAAGTTGTTGGGTTCAGCTGCGAAGATTTTAAAAGCTGCTTTTGTTGGCAGCCTAGGACACATCCGTGACCTTATTAAAGTGGAAGCTTTGTCTGCCTCTTTTTTTTTTTTCTTTTCTTTTTTTTTTTTTTTTTTTTTTTTTGCAACAGTAAATCTACTAATTTTACAGTCAGTTGAACAGCAATAGATTAATTTGTTTAAAGTCTGCATTCACAAAGAAAATGTGAACTTCGCTGCCTTGAATACCCGAAACTACAGTGCGATATTTAAAGGGTAGAAACTATTACAACTTGCCCTAGAATGGTCCAAGCAG